GAGGTGCACAAATACTATCTATTGACTAAGTTTTATATAAAATCAGTTCCTTTGTCCATTATTTAAAAATCTGCAATATATAATTACGTAATATAATACGTAATTTTACCCGACAATTTTACAGCTTGTAATAATCAAACTTCATTTTGGAGAAAATGATTATTCATAGTAAATGAACGCTCATATTTAATCGATATTTATGTATGAGAAAATCTAGCATAATTTCAATAATTATGTGAGCCGTTCACTGCACAAATCGAGTAACTCCACCGTTTTGAAAAATCTTAAATTTAAATGTCAAAGCACTTGGTATACTCATAACTTTTCATATTTAAGATTTTTCAAAAAGTGGAGTTAATCGATTTGTGCAGTGAACGGCTCATATATTTCGTTGCTATATAATTGTATACGGATAGTTCCCTATGCAGTTTAATAAACGCTGCAATTTCATTTGAGCAATTATAACAAAATATTATAATTACATTACTTTAATATTATTATATAGCTAAATCAATAATATAAATATAAATATAATAATATTTACATATATTTATAATATTAATTAATAATATTTATATATATTATGTACATATATAATAATATGGAATGTAAATGTACAGACTACTCAATAATAAAACCACATGTTTATATAACAGTTTTTACTCACTTTAGTGTGCTTTAGTGATTCATCCCCTGAAGTATGATCGTGTATTTATGAATCATCTTCCTATTCCTCGCTTCAATTATCGATATAAATGTACACTTTTGGAAAAACATTTCATGGTGCCGAATCGGTGATCCCAGGTTAAGGTTCTAAATTAGAATAAGTTTCTTTGCTGAAGAAAGACAACGTTCTTGATCATGTTCTTAAATTTCTTCTTCCACTCGGTTTTTATGGATAAAGAAGAAGCCAAGCGGCTTGCCGACTTAAAAATAGCTAAAGAAGGCAAAGACCAGGGTTTATCCGCTTGTCAAAGGAACGCACGAAACGTGAAAGATCAAAGGGTGCTTGGACACGTATTCTCGGAAAAGATTCGCGTGACGAAAGGGAACGAATTAACAAAACCTTGTCGAAGTTACTTTCGGCAGCGTACGGACTTTAAAAGGGTGAAGATCGATTTAAGCTTGAATGCCCGTTTTATTCTTAGAAAATGTTTTGGAAGATCGTAACAATGAAGAAGGATACGAGATATACTTCTCTGCTCGATATGAAAGAATATCAATAAAATTTAATACGAGTTTAATGGAGTTTAATGAAGTTTAATATCGTTGACATTTGAGACGACAGAATATTTTTAAAGTTTTTTAATAAATTTTATATAAAAAGGTGATTATGCTATTATCTAAAAATTTTCATACACGAATACTTTTGTATCCTTATTAGTTCAGATATGAAAGGCTATTGCATCTTTGTAAGAGCAAAATTCTTAAAGAGATAGGCATGATATGACAATCAAATAAAGGAAATTCCTACTTAATTTTAAAAAGAATCTTTTCTTCGATTTTGAAAGCCACTTTTCATCTGAGCCTCTCAAGAATTTTCTCCAAGCTTTGAAAATTTTTTGAATTTCAAAGAATGTTTTTAAATCTGTAGTCCAACGTGTTAATTACAAAAATATGTGTAATTTCTATCAGAAAAAGATTAACAAGAAAGTATTCTACTTAACAATACAGTAATGAACAAGTAAACGATACAATAATAAATATTGTGAGATGGTATTTCGTTACAGATCACGTTTTATGTAAAGGATGAAAGAATTTACCAAACGTTCAACAAATTGTGTTAATATGATTATCATATTATGAGTAATTTTCTATGTTTTATGTTTTTCTCTGTTTTCTATGTTTTTAACGATTGTATTCATTGTTCTTATTATTCTATGAATACAAATAAAAATATAAGAAATCTAATAGTATTTATCTATAGTATTATCTATAGTAATAGTAATCTAATAGTTCTGCTCAATCTATTTTTCGAAATATTCGTCCTGATAAATCAAAATAGGGCATCCCGTGTTGCATTCTCAATAAGTACTAGCAAGATTTTGCTTAGTTTATGACGATCTACGGAAGGTCATAAATCACCCACCAAGTCTACCTAATCTTCCAGCAAAATATTCTTTTGTCTACCAAAGCTCGTATAATACTAGAACTAATAGCAGATTCACACTCTAGTACAAATCCCTAATATAAATTTCATAATTACCAATATCGTTAAAATTACTTTCTCAAAATTAGTAAAACGTGTAATCAGGAAAAATAGAATCTAATTAACAATTAAAAACGTTAATTTTGTACAGCATATAAAGAAAAATGATTTATCGTGAACGCCAAAAATCGATTCTGCAGCCTTGAATTCATAAAAAATGATAGATATCGCGAAATTGACCGAGATTTATAAATTCAAATTTTCTTTTATCGATGTTCAATCAATTACATATCAAAGTAAGCAATGAGAACTATCGATACGTTCTAAAATTTTAAATACTCTGTATCGATTTTCGATAAGGATACTTTTTAAATCGATATCTGTTTAATACTTCATTAATATATTTTCATGAAAATTTCAATACTCGTTTTATATCTTTTGAAATTTTTAACGTTCATTTCATATTTCACCAAATCATTTATATTTATTTGATACCTAAAATAATTTATATTATAATAGCAATAATAATCTAAATAAATTTGCATGATAAAGATATGAAACTACTGTTTTTTTTCTATAAAATATCGTACTTTTGTAAAGTTTCAAACAGATATTGATATCTTCATAGACGTATCAAACAGGCATTGATATTTATGATACTATTCTATACGATATTATAATTTGCACGCTGATATTGATTAGTATCGATATCTCGATCACTACCATGGATATATAATACAATTATATTCTCTAAACAAAAATGTTGATATTTACATATTTCTCCTATGTACGAAATATATATATTAATAAATCGGCGCTAAACATGCGAAAATGCAATTTTCTTAAAATCAATTTACAACTGAAAAAGGAAGAAAAATTATATTCATAACTATGCTATCAATATAAATATATATATATATATTCTCAGATATAATAGTAAGTTTTCTTCGCGTATATTGAAAAAATAAAAGAATTTTGTTATTCTTTAGAGCTAACATAATAGCGTGTACTAATTTTTGATGTGTAATTATTTTCAAGGTGTTCTTTAATTTTCTAAACAGAATATTACAGTAAATGCATTTTTCTTTCATAATAAACATTTGATCATTCCGACCATTTTTTAAAATTTTGAAACGTGTTTGCTTCTCACTATATTTTTCATGAAAATATGCAGTGCGATTCTCGTACTATCGTATCGTCAATGTGTGCAGTGTTAAAAGTATCAAAAAAGAGTCGACATTCTTTTTATGTCGATCAAGTTTCTCATTTTTGGTAAAGAGCAGCTGACAATTCCCAGAACACCCCTACCCCATTAGAAGCGACGCCATCCTGATATGCACCTAATATCGGGGTGATATTGCATTTTCTTATGTCACAGAGGATTTGCTCTCCAAATTCATTTTTTTGCACAGCATATTCATCTTCTACAAATCAAATTCATCTTTTCACGAATCAAGTAAAGCTTTTCTACAAATTTGTTTTCAAAAATTATTGTAATAAAGATAGGATCCAATGTAAATATATTGTGTCAAAATTAAAAATTTTATTACATATACAATAACAATGGACATAGAATACTTATTTAATAGTAAATATAGCTTCATTTTTAATCTTTTATCTTTATACTATATTTTTGTACTTTTATACTTATATATGTTATATTATATTTATTATATTAAAATCATAATTGATAATTTCATATAATTTCACATACATATTCACGTGACAATTATAACAATCTATACTAATAGTTGCAATACAATGATTAATAACACCATCCAAAGATTTAAAGGATTAACTAAAACATTTCTCACACAGAATTTAATTTTCAAAAAATGTTTTCAATGAAGTTCATCACTATTTATAGGAGATCATGGTGATAGAAATAGCAAAGTATATAACTTCGTTTGACCAATAAGCTCATACATTTTTTGGGATTTATAGAAGCTTACAGTGGCCAATGTCAATCACATTTCCTGCAGACTATCTTCATTCAAAATGACATTGTATTATCTTACTCTCAAATGAAAAAACTAAAATAAATTGCAAAAATTTGAATTTGATTCGCAAGAAGATAAATATATTTTGTAAAATGTTGAATTTAGAGTTCGAACCTTATATAAAAGCGTGTATTAAAACGAATTCATTCCTGTAATTTATTATGACCTTCAGGATCATACAATCTCATAAATTAAGAAAATATTTAAAACATTTCGTACTTCTATACCTATTTATCTGCATTTCTTAACATGTAGTGTTAGTTAGTAGTTTTAATCCTTTGCATTCGACGACTTTTGGCTAGAGAAGAGTAAAAATTCAAAGATTCTCTATTAAAAAATTGACGATACTTTTTTGAGCAGAAAATAAAGAATTGTATAATAAAAGAATTGTAGAATTATTTCACTTCGATATTTCGCACACTTACATTACATTAAATTTGATATCTTAATTAATATCGATCTTCCAAATTTTATGAAATGGTGACTGAAGCTCACCCCTCGAGTGCAAAGGGTTAAAAAATTATAGGTCACCTTCGTTTCTCAAAAATGATTGCAAATTTCAAAAAATAGTTATGTCAATTATGCTAATTATACAAAAGCCCATAAAACTTCTCTCCCTTTCGTTCTTCCAATACACTTCTCGTTATTTCTAAGAATACTGTTGCTTATTATCCCCACGAGCATCCTATGTGTATATACACACATACGACCCAATTAGAATTTTAAAGGAATAAGCTTACTTTTCCATGAACTAAACGAAGAAGATATTCTTAGATTAGATAGATTCCTCGGTAGATGAGAGTGGAATGAAACGCAATGTGAGTAAAGAAAAATAATAACGAGCCACTCACCGATAACATTCACCAGGGCGAGAACTTCGCAGAGGTAGTACCTGTAAGCCCACCAATTGTGATAGCGAAGATTTTCCCAGAGATAATCGAGTAACATCTTTTTCTTCTGCTTCTTCTCGACCTCCGAACAGAGGCCAATGTCGAGGTCCATCATCAACGCGTGGATCTTGCCACCCTCCCACCCTTTCCACAGCCACCGTGGCGTGTAGAAGAGTATCGCCTGGAACAAGGATCATCGAACGTCATATCGTTACGTCTACTCTTCCAATGTTGCATGAAATATAGTACCCACTATCTCAATATCGACTGAAACATATCGACGTACCTTCGAATATCGAATGTACATATCGAATAGTACCTTCTATCTGCTTCTATACACTGTGTTTATTTTATCTGGCATCGCGTAAATACGTCTCGGAAAATATGCATGAGACAAGAATATTTCAGATAAATCTTATAGAATGTCGCAATGACGTATACTGATATTTATCATATTTGATTCTGCGATCATTTTAAGAATATTATTCTGAAAGTCGAATTTAAATTTATACGAATTTTAATAGAAAGGTATTGTTTTTATTACAGATTCTAGTGATCATTATCGAATCAGCTTTAACTAAGGTTTACCTATGTGCAGGTCTAGAGTCAGAATTGAAAAGATGTTTTTCACTTAGTTTCACGAAAATTTTGATTTTCGGCCAAAACGATTAATCACACTAGTCGGACAGTGACAAATGTCTTACAAATATGTTGGCATATAAGTGTCATGGTAATAGTGAGGGTCAAGAGAGTCTTACTGCAAATGATTCCCTTTGTCTATGTGTCACCTGATCAATTCTGTATAGTTCTTGCGTAGGAACTAGCAGACCCCATTATTTTTGTATTTCGATAAAGAATCGTGAAATATTCCGATTTTCGAATATTTTAATTAATCGATTCTTGTAATATCAATTCTACTTTTTATATGGGGTTCACGAGTATTCTACGTGAATATTTACATCCCATAAATTTACACTAGTTAACTTGCGTGAAAAACGTTACTCGTGTTAGTAGAACTGCTGTGAACTATTATTGAAAAATTATTTTTGGAATTTAATGTGCTATTGTTTTTGGCGGAATTATCGATAGAAAGATCGACGGTGCAATTTGGCCACAGTGTACATGCTTTAGACAATTCTATTTCTGATGATATATCAACTTTGAAACTTTACAGCTCGGTAATAGGTTATATAAATGACATAAGTAAATAATTCATAAATATTCTAATGAAAAATACATGTTTCTATTCGAAAATTTAAGTATAGCCTAAGTGCATCTTTTCAAAAAGATCAAATAAATGTTATCACAATATATTTGATATCTTACAATGCTTATCTCGAACATTTTATCGAATCACGTATATTTTTCGATATATTTACGCATGCCCTATATACAGTGTGTTCCAAAAGTCATGAATAACAGATTTGAAGAACCATTTCCTTTTTCTTTTTGTTTCCACATGTTAATTATCAACATAGATTCGATAAATCTGACCAAAAATGCCAAATCGTGATGTTATTTCATAGATTCCGACATTTTAGCTCTTTACTGGACCATACGTCATCATAAGTTCCAATGTAATTTTTACATTGCATATATTACAGGAAAATTTAGAAGCATTGTCAAATGTGAGAAAACTTGTTATTAGTCTCAATGGTCAAATAACATTTACAAATAAACTAGTAATTGGCAGTCAATGTGTTAGTTGTAATTTTAAATGTTTTTTCCTGTTTTATTTTTACATGTAAAATCAATTAAAATAGATTGACTACAGTTGAGTACAATTATAACATTTTTATTGTTATACAAGTTAATCAGTAAATTACTCTGAATTGTTGCAATAGAACAATATACATATATAAATATACGTATTATGGATTGAACTGACAGTTGACCAATCAAATTAAAATAAATTTTTAATTCTAGTCAAAATATTTCTAATTAACACATAAACAACGGAAGAAATAAATCCACACTTTTCCATCTTTCAAACGTTGAAAATGTTTTCACGAATACCACTATAAAATACATCGTAAATATCATCAATGATTATAGGAATTATAAATTTTTAACGAAAAATTTCATTTCATAAAATATTAACACTGTTTGAAATAGGTGTTGCATATTTCACATATTTTCTAAAAATGTGTGAGAACTGTTGCTCGCTCCGTTTCACAATATACCGTCAACAATGTGTTAAATTATTTGATTCAGAGTTATAGAAATATGAATACGTAATGAACAAGTTAATAAGTACCCAAAACCAGGTACCCAATATATTTCTTCTACTAGCAGAAATTTTGATGACGAAAAAACATTGAACGTTACCAAAAATCTAAATTGGACTTCCTACAGTGACAAAATTACTATCTTCTGTTAAAAAAATTATTTGGGTCAAAGGAAAATAAAATTTTTCGAAAAAATTCGTGTTACTTTACCAAGATTAAGAGCAATATTTCGCCAAAAATGTGATATAGTTGAAAAATATTTGCTCTAAAAATGTACATAGTATTGTAATTTATTATTTCTATCCTTCTTCCTTTCTTTTCTGTTAAAATTATATTTTTTACAATTACTTGGTGTCGAGTTCACAATTCGATAGAAATATATTTGATAAAATAAATGTTTTATTAAAAAGAGATTCCAACGTAATTTATATTATCTCTTACTGAATCAAATTAATTTAAGTTAATAAATTGCTAGATTTACTGAATTAATTTTTTTTTTAAGAAATAGTATCAAACATCTTAAACAATTATTTATAAAATTGATTTACTCAGAAATAAAGTCTCGTACGAAACAATTTTATTCCATATTTTCAATTTACTTTTTATATCATTTTCTATTGTAGCATTATTACAGAATACTTGAATACTTACGTCGCAAATAATGAGAAGAGTGAGATGTGATAATTTTTGGTTTTTGGCAGTTTATTCGATTCTTTACGACTTAATCTAAGTATAAATATTTACGATATTACATAGATTGTTAATATCTGTGAATAAAGGTTTCCCTATACAATTGGTTTACAACTCCTTTCTATTCTGTAAAAACTTTCCAATTTCAAGGTTTGTATTACCTTCTAATCCTCTTGGTATATTTTTATCAAATAGAAACCCATATAAAGCGATTTGCGTCAAATATGAAATACTATATTATTGTACCGTGTGTTATTGACTGTGTTGGGAACATTGTTCTTAGAAATACTCTGCTAACAAGCCACATACTGATCACTTGTGGGCTTAATCGTATTGGTATATCTGTAGTTATAAAGAAAAATGCAGTGTATTACAATTTTCAAGAATTATAGTTTATTCATTAATTAATTCACGAAACGTTCGATGTGTGTATTTATAAGAAACAAATGGATAGAAACGAATCTTATATATTCAAAAGAAGTATGCAGTTTAACCAAATGGCAATAAATGAAATTGATATTCAGAACACTAAATTTCGAAAATGAATAGATTTATTTAGACAATGAATAGATTAAACATATACATATATTTAAATGTAGGCTAGTATTAAAATTTAAGTCAGGTATAAATTACTTTGAGGAGAATAAGGATGAATTGTCAAGAGGATTGAGGAATATTTATCAACAGTTTCAGTAGATTCACTAAATTCAATACATATAATATCATATGTTAAGTATTATGCAAATCAGATTCGATTAGATACCTCAGTAATTGTTGCAGTAGACATAAGAAATTTATGACGTGAATTGAAAGGGTCTACATGTAATGGGGAAGTTTCCCTACTGTGGAAGAAAACCCAAAAATCCTGGGTCAGTTGTCGAAAAGAGACGTACCCTGTCAGACGTGCTTCCTCAAGTATTTCGAAAATAAAGCCTTTAACCTCTGTTGCGATACGCCAAGTTTCATTTTGTCCACGCTTTAATTTTTACCCAGCTCTTTCTAATATAACAATAATAAAACACGACATATTTTAACAATGTTAAATAGTACAAATCATTCCTATTTGAGAACGTTTGTTTAATACAAAATTTATTTATAGTTGGTCGTTCTAAAGCATTACAATTACTCTTCAATTAAAATTTTCACAACACCATGATCTTTACACGCTTTCCACATTTCTCCGTCTCTCTTTCAACCCGGATCAGGCTTTGTTGGGTCTTAAAAGACCTGATCTCGTTGATCCTTAAGTTCAGTCACATTTCCTTTTTTATATTTATGTTTATTTTATGGATTAAATTTCAGTAAATTCTCAGTTAATGAATTTGACATGAAAGTGCACTTTATCTCGGATCCTTTATTAGCTCCATACTGAAGAGAAGAAGCTTTACCTACTAGATCTTTTACCTACATCTTTCAGATAACAGGAGGATTGCTCCATAAATTTATATTATCACTCGAAAGTTTGGGATCATGTGTACGACGTCAAAGAATCTTGGATTTTTAATTAGTAAAAATACGAATTGATATTTGAACTATCAAATATTTATTAATTAGTATACACATATTGAAGAAATAACGAAATGGCGATGTAAAATTATTTTATTTATGTAAATTCTACTCTCCAATCACAGTAACCTTTCTTCCAAAAATATTTTCAAAAGACCAGTGAAAATTAGTTATCTAATGAAAAAACGAAGTATTGTCAGCCTTATCGTGAAATAAGAAAAGCATATCGCACAATCGAAGATTATACTGAGACATACTAAGCTTACCCACCGATATCTTCTTAACAGAGAAAATGTAACACCCCCTTAACGGTTGAACATATTATCATACACTGTAGAAAACACCTTAAAGGAAGATAACAACATAATAGCCCCTCTAGAAGACATCCTGAAGGAGACTTAAACAACTCAGAACCTAAAACAGACTCTAAACTCAACTTGTGGTCACTGATAAGTCATACAGTGGTTGATTGAATTTTAAACAACGAGCAGAAAAGACAAAAAGATAATTTATAAAAGTTCCATAATTCCTAAAATAGTTGGAGAATAAATATTTGCAAACATAAGAGCAAGACATAATCACGTAACTGGAAAAATATTGGCCTCGTTATTAAATACAAAAAACAACAAATTACATCGACTTATATTTATTATTTCTTTGCATGAGTTATAAATGTGAGAAGTGACACCAAGCTTTTGAACTATTCTATAAACACGAACCTCAAAAGTGGATTAACATCTTGTAAAAGTGTTATTAC